ACATTCAGCCTCTGTGTCTCGTTGCCTCCTGTCCTGGGCCCCACTCCAGTCCTGATAACCTTGACCTGCACGGGCTTTATGGCCTTGCAGATCCTCCTCCTCTTCTTGTGTTTGTCAGCTGTGGCCTCCCTGGCTGCCTCCTCCTGGCTCCTCCTGTCCCTCCCCCCAACACCCTCCTATAAGGTCTCATGGCCTCTTTGCAGATAAAGACTCAGAAGTTCAGAGACCTTGGGGTTTGTCCAGCTTTGAGTCAGGACCCCAGGGCTCATCTCATCAATGCCCAAGCCAATCTGTCTGGTCCTTTGAGCTTCCAGAGGGAACGGGAGGGGGCTGTCTGCTGTGCTGTGCACTCATAACAATGGCCTGGATCAGAGAGGACACTTCTGGGGCTGAAGACATTCTTGGGTGAAGAGGGCCGCTCTAGTCCTAGCATGCTGGAAACCCAGAGTTGCATCCCTAGCATCCAATAAGCCAGGACTCATCCCAAGGATGCTCAGACTACTCTGTCCAGACTCTTGAGCTCCCAAAGGGACGGGGAGGGGCATGGTTGCATTTCCTGTGATCCTAGCACTTTGGAGAAGAAGAAAGGAGGGTTAGGAAATTCAAGGTCATCTGTAGATAAATAGAGAATTGCAGGTCAGTCTGGGCTACAGGAGACCCTATCTCAAAAACAAAACAAAGCAAGTAGGAAAAAAGAAAGATAAGGGAGAGAGAGAAAGAAAGAAAAAAGAACAAAGAAATCAAAATAGGAAAAAAAACAGACATAGAGTCCACATAGACAGGGCTGCTGCATCAACAACCTGTGGACACTAGAGGGCGTGGAAGGACAGAAATCCAGTCTAGACTGTGCTGACAGCCAGGAGTGTGGGCACCCAGAGATGTGGCGACAGGAATGACAAGATGTCAGTCTCTCCCCCTCCTCCACCCACCCCCCCAATAAAAAAGCCAGGCATGGTGGTGCACGCCTTTAATCCCAGCACTCAGGAGGCAGAGGTGCAGCTCTGTGAGTTCGAAGCCAGCCTGGTCTACAGAGTGAGATCCAGGACAGGCTCTAAAACTACACAGAGAAACTCTGTCTAGGAAAACAAACAGGATGTCAGCCCCAAGCTTTGCCTTTGTGACAACTACTTCATTTTGTTCTCACAGCAAAACCAGAAACGAGAAGTCTTAGCGAGATCCCCACTTTACAGTGAGAAATGGAGCCCTGTGTGGAGTCTCCACATCAGAAACCGGAGGCTGAAGTTGAGCTCTGACTTTATGGCCCAAGTGTTGTCCCCTGTCAGCCCTCCTGGGTCCTTTCCAGGTGGGACTGCTTAGAGGTGGGAGGGGAGTCTACCCCATGCTTCCTTCTAGGGAGGGTGGGCTCTGGGGCAGCAGGGGTTTGTGGGGGGGTGGTAAATGAGGAAGCAGCCTGGGGCTGTGGGACTAGCCATGGATACATGGATACAGCTAGTCCTTTGGACTGGCTCCTGGCAGGGTTGGCCCCCTGGGAACCTGCCAGGCTATTAATACCCTGCTGAGTCAGGGGGCTCTTGAATTGCAGCATCACAAGACACAGGAGTCCTAGGGCAGCAGGGACACTCTTGGCGCCTCCCGCCTGCATGTCCACCTCAGGCTGTGCCCTCTACGGTAAGTAGAGGCCAGCACCCCACTCAGGGCTGTCCCCAGACAGCGTCCTTCAGAGCTCTGGTGCTAAAGCACAAGAATTATTCTTCTAGAAATTGCTTTGTAGAGGGCCTGCTGTGTGCCCACGCCTGTCCAGGAAGCCAGGGGTCCTATGATTCAACTCACCACCCGCCTACAGGGCCGCAGCCATAGCTGAGTGGATTCTACTAGGGGCCCTGCGCTTAAGCCGTCGGAGGCACGTAGCATTAGGTTCCAGGGACTCTAGTCACTCTGGGTAGGCACTGGCTGATGGGGACAAGGAATTCACATGGGTCAGCTGTGACAGTTACGGGTCAGCAGGGAAGAAAGCAGGTGCAAGGGAGGATGGAAGGACAGATCCCCCAGAGACAGGCTCTCAGCTCTGGCTCCTTGGCCTTTGCAGCCTTTCCTGCCCGGGACTCCAGGAGCTTGCCCAGGTCTCTGCCACCTTCCTGGCATGGCTGTTGCAGACCTTCTGGTGGCCTTGTAAGAACAGGCTCACTCCTTGGCCACCTGGCTCTTGGAATTCCAGCATGGTGCTGTGAAAGCTGTTTCCTGAGAGTTGGGGGGGCATTAAAACCCCTGCTCATCCTCAGGATAGGGCACTGGCTCCTACAGAACAAGCCTCCTGCTACTAACGGATGAGATGGGCTTTGAACTCAAGCCTAAGCTGATTCCAGAACTCACACTCACATATCCATTCATCATCATCATTTTATTATTAACTATTAATTGATAATAATAATTATTATTGTATTCCAGGCTGGCCTCAAATCCACTCGGCAGCCAGGGATGACTGAACTTCTGATCCTCCAGCCTCCAACTCCTGAGTGCTACTTTATGAGGTGTTGGAGAATCAAACCCAGGGCTTCTTGCATGTAAGAACTCTGTCAACTAAGCTATACCTCAGGCTCTCTTTTTATTTATTTATTTATTTAGTTTTTTTTTCCCTAGAGTTTCTCTGTGTAGCTTTGGAACCTGTTCTGGAACTCGCTCTGTAGTCCAGGCTGGTCTCGAATTCAGAGATCTGCCTGCCTCTGCCTCCCAAGTGCTGGGATTAAAGGTGTGCGCCACCACCGCCCAGCCCTCATTAATTTTTTGAGCTAGATCTCACTATATAGCTCAGGATAGTCTCCAAACTTGAGATCATTCTGCCTCTGCCGCCCAAGCGCTGCGGTTCCAGGTCTGTGCCATAGGCCCAGAAGACCACGTGCTGTTTAAGTCATTCCATGTGGTATCTGTAGGTGGCTGCGTACGTGAGTCTCACATCTGGGGTGCTCCTCTTTTCACAGCCTCCTGGAGGCCTCTCCACTGGGACCCACTGGGGACCTTGCCTTCCTCCCCCTACACCGTCTACACCCACACAGCCATGCTAAGCTCCCCGCACATGTGATCCAGGTCTGGGCCTCTCTCTCAGCTCTGGTCCAGAGCTGTAGAGCAGCTCTTCAGTTCCAAGCCCCCTGCAGAGAGCCCTTATCATCCAGCCCCACACATCCCCGAGAGCCTGGGACAGGCAGCCCACCCCGATCCCAGCCCCACACAAACCCTGTTATCAGGAGACACATTCCAACCTACGCTCTCTCCTCCTGTAAGGGGGAAGATAGAGCCTGTCGTCTTCCGGCCAAGTGGGAAGGGGCATGGGGAAAGCAGAGGTTATCTCAGCAGGAAGCCACACTGCTGGGCTGTTTCTTCAGCCAGCTTGAGAAAACACCTTGGGGCTGGCCTGAAAGGCCAGCCTTCTGCCCAGGAGGTGGCTGGCTCAGGACCCTTGCTGGGGCTGAGGTCAGGAGGCTGTGTGACTGTTCCCAGGAGCAAGGCGGTGGCTCCCCAGACCTGGGGGGCTCCTTAATCCCTTTCTCCTGGCCTGGTTTGTCTGTAAGCCCAAGCATCGCCTGGTTTGTGGGAGGGGTCTCAGCACAGTGAAGGTGCAGAGCAGGGCTGCTTCAGACAGCAGGCTGTCTAAAGGTCCAAGTGCATGTTCTGTAATCTCTGGCGAGCACAGCCCCATCACCAGGCACCTGCTGGGGTGGGTAGTGGAAGATTCATTCGGAGATGTGAATCAGGAGGCTGGGATTAGAGCCTTGATCTTATCCTTTTTTCTTTTGTTTTTGTTTGGTTTTGGTTTTGGTTTTTTGAGTCAGGGTTTCTCTGTGTAGTTTTGGTACCTATCCTGGATCTTGCTCTGTAGACCAGGCTGGCCTCGAACTCACAGATATCCACCTGTCTCTGCCTCCAGAGTGCTGGGATTAAAGGTGTGCACCACTGCCCCAGGCTGGCCTCGAATTCACAGAGAGGCACCTGCCTCTACTATCCAACTGCTGGAATTAAAGGCGTGTGCCACTGCACCTATCTTCAATTTTCTTATAATTAAGTTATGAACAATGGAAGTTCATGTCTTAGGTAGCAAAATCTTGAAGGACTTAGTAAAGAGCCTGGCACCTAGGTTAAATGTGATGGGACCAACCTATAATCCCAGCACCTGGGAGGCAGAGACAGGTGCCTCTCTGTGAGTTCGAGGTCAGCCTGGTCTACAGAACAAGTTCAGGATGTCCAGAGAGACATAGTGAGACACAGGGGGAGAGAGCGCGGGATGGGTGTACTGATGCACAGCTATGTTCTGAGTACTTAAGAGGCTGAGGTAAAAGGATTAAGGGTTTGAGGCTAGCCTAAAACTACATAGCAAGACCCTCAAGTTGAGATTGCAAGTGCCCTCCACCATGGTGGCTTTTTCATGTGAGTTCTGAGGCTCAAACTTGGGCCTCAGCCATGCTTGGTGAGGACTTAATCAACTGGGCTAGCCAACCAGCCCCAGACACGCTTGGAACTCCAATACCAGTGGAACTTCCGGAAGGAAAATATGCATTTAAAACAAAGCATACAGGGCCCTTCAGGTGGCTGGGTGGGTAAAGGCACTTGGTACCAAGGCTCATGACCTGAGCTCCATCCCGGGGCCCCACGTGGTAGAGGAGAGAACTGACTCCTGCAAGCTGTCCTCTGACCTCACAAGTGTGCACTGTGATGTGCCTTTACTGCTTCCAAGAGGAAGAAAGAAATATACAACTTAAAAAACCAAAGCAGCCTGGTGGTGGTGGGGCACGCCTTTAATCCCAGCACTGGGGAGGCACAATTCAGTCAGGAGCGTGACCCCAGGAGGGCTGAGGACCTGGGAAGAAAGGGTAAGTCAGAGACGAAGCCAATTTTAAACACACACTGCATGTAAGAGCAGCTTGGGCTTTAACAAACACGCCAGCTCCTATGGGTAGCAGAAAGCTAAATGTCTGGGAAGGAAACTGATGGTTGTAGTGTTTCCACCTTGTAAATTCACGAATTAACTTTTTTTTTTCTTTTTGAGATAGGTCTCAGATAGCCTCGGCTGGAGTCAAAGTAAGACAAGGATGACCTTGAAGTTCCGATCTTCCTGACAGCCCCTCCCGGGGCTGGGATTACAGGTGTGCACCCCTGGTCTGGTTTGTGTGTGCTGGGGAAGGGACCCCGAGCTGTGTGCTGGGGAAGGGACCC